CCCCGGCCGGGCGGCTGGAGGGTGGCCAATCCCCCTCGCTCGAATTAGGGTCCCCTGGACGCCATGTGGGGACCAGCAGTTACAGCTTTACCCGCACCTTGCCAGCCAGTGGAACAGAAGCCCAGAGACCAGACAACCCCTCCCCTTTTGCTGTCCAGCCAGCCCGCGCTTCAGCCCTTCACTGCACATTAGGGTCTACCAAGGTGAGCCTTGCCCCAAGCTGGGGCTGTAGTTGGGCAAAGAGTCAGGTTCCCCGTCCCACCCCCCCAGCCTGACAAAGAGCCAGGATACCCGCCACCCACATTTTGCACAGAAGGGTGGATGGTAATCCCACCATCCTGGGTTGACATGGGTGCCTGCTACCCCAAGCCCTTAGAGAGCAGAGCTGTGGGAAGGTCTCCCACAGGAGAGCTCCCCCATGTGGCCAGCCCTGTCCCCGCAGCCTCGCCTGGCCAGGCACACAGCAGGCACTGCGTAAATGCTCCCTGGGTGAATGAGGCAGGGCTTGTGACAGGTTTTCCAGAGTCCGAGGGTGCAATGGGCAGGGACATTTATTCCTAATGTTCTGTCTTTGGATCAGGTCGCTGTGGCCCCGGGCCCTGGGACATGACACCCAAGGATGTGAGGGGCTCCCCAATCCCGGGAGAAATAGGTGGGCAGTGAAGCCTGAGGCTGGTGGCCGAGATGGGTGCTGGGCAGCCTTACCTTGTGCCAGGTGCTGATCCTTGGGCCCACCCAGCTCAATTGGAGCAGAAATCAGGGGCAGTCTCCCCCATCCTGGGATATTTGGAAGCTTGGAGCAGCAGCCGGGGTGAGTGGAATGGGGGTAGAAGCAGCAGGAACTGGAGAAAAAGCATTTCACAGTCGTGTGACTTGGGCCTCCTGTCCCTGAGCTCTCTGTGGACACCACATCGGGTCTCAGAAGGAGGCTGACAGTGGCAGGCAGGCCCTGCTGCGGGACTCTGGGGCTCCAGCCGCACCCCCATCCTTGGACCCTGGGTCTACAGAGCTGAGGGCCCTGGCTGCAGGGTCCCTCTGCTGCAGGGCTGGGGAGCTGGGCTGCCACCTTACTTTGTTGAGAGCTGGTGGAGCCTGGATGTGGCCCAGTGGGGGAGCCTCGGGCACAAAGGGTGTGCTGCAGGGCCCTCCCGGAGGAGGGCATGGGCTTTGTCACCTGCTTCTTGACCCACCATGCAGCTGGCCCAGGGCGTAGGGTGAGGGCTGAATGGGACAGGGCAAAGGTCACCCATAGCTAAGGGAGCAGTGGCTTCATCCACTTTGGGTAAAATACGGAACAAATGGGCAGCTGACATCTGCTGAGTCAGCTCTGGCCATAGCGGCCTGAGAGTACTTAGGGGACTGCTGCTCAGTGGGGTCTACAGAGCTGAGGGCCCTGGCTGCAGGGTCCCTCTGCTGCAGGGCTGGGGGGCTGGGCTGCCACCTTACTTTGTTGAGAGCTGGTGGAGCCTGGATGTGGCCCAGTGGGGGAGCCTCGGGCACAAAGGGTGTGCTGCAGGGCCCTCCCGGAGGAGGGCATGGGCTTTGTCACCTGCTTCTCGACTCACCATGCAGCTGGCCCAGGGCGTAGGGTGAGGGCTGGATGGGACAGGGCAAAGGTCACTCATAGCTAAGGGAGCAGTGACATCACATAAGCTCCTGGGAAAAGATGCATCCACTTTGGGTAAAATACGGAACAAATGGGCAGCTGTCATCAGCTGAGTCAGCTCTGGCCATAGCGGCCTGAGAGTACTTAGGGGACTGCTGCTCAGTGGCCAGGGACCAGGGCACATGGGCCGTGGGGAGGGGTCTGGGGCAGGGCGCACTGCAGCTCCTTCTACCTACCCACCTGCTTTCATTTCAGAGTTTGTGGCCACGGTCTTCCTGTTTGTGGAGTGATGTGAAACTTCTGGAAGTTAGTTCATCTTTCTGAGTGTTTGTACACCTGCCTGCTTGTATAGCAAGCTTCTCTCCAGGGGAGGGGCCCTGGGTCCTGGTGCCTCGAACGTAGTAGATGATGGATAATGTTGAACGAGGGCCTGATCCTTGAGGTCAGAGCCATGTAGATGAGGCGCTCAAATCTTCCCAGAGCCGATGGGACACCACAAGGCAGCCCCCGAAGTCCACTGAAAGTTCATAGCCAGCTCAGTTCCAAACAGGGCCCACAGCCTCATGAGCAGACACTGGAATGACCGCCTGGCCTCTGCACCCACCTCTGCACCGCGCCTGGGCGGCCAGGACACGCCCCGCAGCACACCTGCCTCCTGACGCTTCCCTCAGGTGCTGTCTGAATCCCGCAGGGCTTCCAGGCCATGCCAGGTGGTGCCCAGTCTTCTTACTGGTCTTCGCTGCTCGCTCTCTGCCCCACCCCCTCTTTCTTGCAGGACCCTCCCTCCGCGTGGCCACTTCTGCCTCCGCTGCAGTGCCTGGCCTGCCCAGTTTTCCCACTGACCGCCCTCCTGGTCGGTGCCCAGGACAGGAGCCCCCCCATGGATGGGGTCTCCTGCAAAGGCTGCTCCATGCTGGTCTCTGCCCTTCCCACACCCGGACACTGTCAGGACGTGGTCTTGTTCTCTGTCGAGCCCCGTCTCTCCGCAGATAGGGGCTCCCTCCTGTCTCGGGGTATGCACTTGGTGTTCAGCTTGGCCAGGTGATGTGAGGCCAGTGGAGCGGGGTCTTCAATGTCTCGGCTCTCATTTTCCCTAAAACAATTTGAAGAGCTGTCAAAACCTGTGCACAGTTTGAAGTCAACATCCAAATTTTAAAAAAATGTCAATAATTGCAATGAATGTCATAGCTGGGGTGGTGTAAATATTGACCGTTTGAAATAAAGCTGTTAGTCACTCTCCTAAATGTATCCAAGAAGCTAAATACCAAAGTGGTTTTAGTACCCACCATCAACCATTTACAGAAAACATAGAAACACATTTTTCTTTACTAGTCAGAAATCCTCATCATGACATTTTTCATTAAACTCATGATAATCATCCAATTTTGCCCAGAATTTTATTCTATTGTGACATATTTTTATGCTTGAAAGTTTCTATAGATCCCCCATCATTCTTTAAAAAAATCCTTACTTGAGAATATTGTTTTTTTTTAAAAATTGACTTTAGAGAGAGAGGATGGGGGAGAGAGAAAGAGAGAGGGGGAGAGTGGGAGAGAGAAAGAGAGAGAGAGAGATAGATATATATAGAGAGAAAGATGGATGTGAGAGAACATTATCCCTTGCCTCCATATGTGCCCTGACTGGGGGTTGAATCCACTACCTAGGTATGCACCCTGACCAGGAATTGAACCCGCAACCTTTTGGTATATGGGACGATGCTGCAGCCAACTGAGCCACCCGGCCAGGGTCCCCATCACACTTTTTGGAAACAAATACACATGTAAGTTTTAATAAATTGAATATTTAATAAATAACTTTAAAACTAATTATTTTTTGTTTCTAATGACCATTAGACTCATTTTACATGATCGAGGTCTTTGGGTACAGTCCGTCAGAGATGGGAACACAGGACAGGAGCCCACTGACCTGCTGCTGCCGGGAGCCAGCGCTCCGGCCGGGCTCACATGTCCTTCCCTGGGACCCACGGTGCTTCTGCAGGACTCTGGGGCTCCTGCAGGGGCGAGGGGTGAGGTCACCGTGGACATGGGTCCCCAGTCCAGTTGATGCCTGAACCCCGACCACAGGAAGTGGGGACCCTCTGGTAGCCAGGGCTGGCCCCCAAAGTCACCACGTGGGTGTGGCTGGAGCTGTGAGTGGAGTCATCTGCTGCTGGTGCAGAGACAGTGTCGACATTTATGCAGTTTGAGATGGAATAAATGTACGACGTTACCCTGGATGCGTTCCACCCTGGGGACGGTGGGGACATGGCAGCGGCCGGCGGTTCCCTGGGACACCCCAGGGGAGGGAAGCCGTGGGCAGGACACCACAAGGCTGACACCTGCCAGCTGGTGGGTGTGAAGGCAGCAGGGACGGTGGAGGACTGTGGGTGCCGTTACCCAGAGGGGCTCTGGACAGGCCCCCCTTGCTGCACCTTCCCTCTCACCTTCCCTGTCCGTGCGCAGGGGTTTCTGGTCCTCGAACTGCTGTGGTGACCTCTGTGACATCAGGCAACGCCTTTGGATCCACAGCCTGGGGGCTGCTGCCTGGCGCCCTTGGAGGACTGTCCCTCAGGTGGTTTATTTCTGTCACGCGTGTCTGCATGTCCACAGTCCCATGCACACCCCTCCCTCCTGGCCCACAGGAGCCGGCACAGTGAAGCTTGGGGTGGAGGACTCATCCTGTCACCAACCCCCGTTGTTGTTGGGCATCCTGACTCTTGCTGAGATGGACGCAGCAGCCTGGGTCATGGCTGAGGGATGCGCCTCTTATGCCCCTTCCTGCTCCACGTGCCCCCGAATGGCCAGAGCATTCCGCTTTGACCTTTTAACTCTCTGAAGAGCACACACACGCATGCACACTCATCTCATGTACACAAGCACACACACTCATTTACACACATGCACACTCCCATGTAGCACGCACACACATGCACTCTTACTGCATACACGCAGTACAACTCAGGCACCACACCCACTCACTAATGCACACACACCTACATGAACTCACACATGTGCACAGCTATCCAATGTACAAACATACAGCACACATGTAAGCACATTCACACATGCACATTCGTCTTTATACACTGCACGCTCACACTCACACATAACTCTTACCCCTCACCACCCAGTCATGTGCATACAGGCAGACACATGTGTACAGAGCAAGGAAGGGACACAAAACGTAAGGCCACAGGCAGCCTGGGCTCTATCCCGCTCCCCACCCTTGTGGAAGCTCACTCCACACGGAGCGCCCTTCTGTGCTCTGGAAACATCACACGCCAGTGGGCCATGTCACAACACGGCTCCCCACTGGGCTCAGGAGGCCGTGCAGATACTGAAGCCCTCGAGGTTTATTTAGTGCTGAGCGTCGTTGGTTTGGATGACGAGGTGCGCTCTCTGTTCTGCCAGGGCTGCTGAGGTGGGAGGGATGCTGGGTACCCACGGGGGCGGGCCAGGGAAGAACGGCCCTGCCCCAAGCACCAGGGCACAGACAGGGCCTTGCAGGGCGGTGGGCCGCCCTCCTCGAGGGTCAGAGACGCACATGGATGCCAGTAACCAGCCTCACGAAGGGCGAACGATGTGAAACACTGTATTTTGCCTGACGGTTCTGCATCTACAGTGTGTACACAGCACAGCGTCGGGTCTCGGTTCATGTCAGCAACAGAAGCAGGTGAACAGGCAGACAGTGATGGAGACAGGAGCCGCCCAGAGGTCATCTGGTTGCCTGTCTGGTGGGCCTGTGAGACGCACGGGGTTGGTGGCAGGTACGGACACTGTGGTAAGCTACAGCCTCTCTGTCAGGAATCCCGGGAAGTGAGGCTCCTTGTGCTCAGATACTGAGCGTGGGGCCTGGGGCGCCTGACACACTCCTCGTCTCTCCCAGTGGGTGCAAAGGAAGGAGCTGCTCCGGGGGACATCCTCCCGCCTAGACCTCAGAGCACACGGGCGAGTCGCACCATGACAGCCGAGCAGAGCACTGATCACCTGACTACCCTGCCTGTGCACGATGTGCCATGTGCATGTTGGTGGTGATGTGCGCACAGGTATAGTGTACTGTGCATGGGTGGGTGAACATGTGATGCACACACGTGGCATGTACATGTGTGGTGCACACACACTGTGTGTGTGTTTGTGTGTACACATGTCACAGTTCCAAGGGGAGGGAGGGAGGGGCGGTTGTGCACGGTCTCACACGCACGTCACATCCTTCTGGGCGTCCAGGCTTCTGCCCCTGTGAGGACCCACTGACCCCAGCCATGGGATGGGGCACTTCTGTCCTCTGAGTCAGGGCTTTGTGCCCAGATGTTCATGGAAATGCCAGCTCCTTCTCTTTGCGGGGCAGGGAACTTTATTTTTCCCAAATTCCCATGTTGGGGCGGGATCTAGTCCTGACAGCGGCTGGCTTAGGAAATGGAATATTTGTTAAAGGACAGTTGGGCTTTTACAGAGCCGTGGGGCCCCCTCCACCCCCCTGAAGGCCACGTGCTCCCAGAGCACAGCTGGGTGCCCCGCGTCTGTGAGGCCCTCAGCCTGCGGGGCTGGGGCTGCATTCAGGGTGGGGCTGAGGTGGAGATGGCACGGGCGTCGGCTCCGACGTGGGGCCCAGGTTCAGAGCGCACTGGGCTGGCCAGCAGGCTGCCCGCCCCTGGAACAGGACTTAACACACACATTGAACACGAGAAAGATCAGTGTGCCTCCTGCCGCAGCTATCACAGGCGGGCAGGCCCCCACACGGAGGCCGGTTCCTCTGCCCGCTGCGTGGCTGGGCTGCCCGGGGACGGGCGCTTCAGGTCCACAAGGGGTGACTGTGGGCACGACAACTTGTCTGACCTCGAGGTTCGGGGAGGCAACGTGGCCCAAAGCGTCTTCCCACTTGAGTCCTTCATAACCAGAGGTCAGCGGGGGTGCCAGTCGCTTCTGAGCGGCTCTGTCACTCGGTGACCCTGCCGACCTCACGTGGGAGAGGGTCCCTCTCTGCTCTGACGCTCGCCCGGGGTGGGTGGCACGGCGGCTACACAGTCGTCTCATTCTTCCAGGGCCCCGTTCGGATGTTGCCTGTGCTGTCGGCACCGTAAGGCACGGCTTCGCACATGTCGCCCTTGAGCAACCCGTTCTGGCCAGGGCCCCCAAAGGGCAGGGACTGTGTCCTCTGGAGCATCTCAAAGTGGGCGGGGCCACGGCCTACCTCCCTGCCGGGCCGCGGGGTGCAGCCGTAGAGTGTGGGACTGATGTTGCCACTCTCGGGCTGGCTGACCAAGGGGAAGGGGTCGCCCTGGGCACAGCAGGCCAGCGTGTGCATCCCCGCCGGGCCCTCGAGAGAGCTGGCGGGGCTGTCTGTGCGTGAGCTGTGGGGGCTGCCGTCCAGGCTGGACGGGATGTGGTAGGCGTACTCCTGCTCGGCCGCGGCCGCCCTGTGCCGGCTGAAGTAGCGAGGCTTAGTTCTGCCCTGGAGGCACCGGTGCAGGTGCAGGTCGTGCCCAAACGCGTCCTCCTCGTGCAGGTGGACGTGGGCCATGTCCTCCATCAGCTGCTCACAGTGCATTTTGGCACAGCAGGGCGTGGCCGGCGACAGGCAGCTGACGTGGCTCTGGGAGGCCTGCAGGTTGGTCATCTTGCAGTGGCCGGCCGGCGGGTGCCCAAAACCCCGTGGCTTGCCAACACAAGGCGAGTCCTGCAGGCAGGTGGCGTGCCCCAGTGCGTCCCCATTGGCGTCGAGCGTGTGGTGGGCACTGAGCTTCGAGGCCTGGGTGTCCCGGCGGGAAGGGCAGCACGACCACCAGCAGTGCCACACGTCGTCCCGCTTGGCGCAGTGGTGGATGAGCACGAAGAGCCCCAGCGTCACGCAGAAGGCGCCGTACAGGCAGCTGAAGACCATGTCCAGGAAGTGGTCCTGTGACACGGCCAGGGCCCCGAAGGTCCACGTGGCCGTGAACAGGAAGAGCGTGAAGGCGGTGGCCCGCAGCTGGGCCTTGAGCGAGTGCCTGGGGGGGCCCTGGGGCTGTGGCCGGCCTCCAGCCCCGTCAACCGATGCTGCTCGTCCGTCCGCTCCCTGAGCTCATACCGGCGCTCCGGGTGACACCGCAGCTGGACGTAGGTGCCCAGGAAGTACACGCAGGTGACCAGGGCGATGAAGGCCGCCGGCCCGTAGAACGCGCCCAGGCTGGGCTCCCAGGCCATCCAGCAGCTGTGGGAGGAGAGCAGGAGAAGGAGGAGCTGGT